AACCTGCAGAAAAATGCAAGTTTCTTCACTTTGATTATTTTGACGAGAGCCTGATTCCACCACGCTGACTCACATATGTATTTACATGACAATTTCTACACATTACATTAAATAGAACTGAGATCAGACCAGCAGCTGAAAAACGAACACACACACAAAAAATGAAGAACAAAACAAGGCACACACCTAACTTCAGCTCACGGATTTTTATCCTCAACGTGCCATTCACAGTCAATCCTATTCTCTCCTTTTGGGACTTGTCGTCGTAACTGTTCCAATTCCAGTACACTACCTCTACCTCAATACTCTCCACTGAGCTCGTTTCACGACTCTCCTCAGCAAGACTCAAATTGTACTGTAACAACGGTCCCGATTGCTCTATGATATGTGTGTAAGGAAATTCCTGTGGTGGAGAAAGTAGAAAAAGTCTTGATCAACAACTTTAAAAGGCATGTGCGCGCACAAACACTCACACACACACACACAAACACTCACACACACACATGTACACAATCTCTCTCTACACACACACACACACACATGTACACAATCTCTCTCTACAAACACACACACACATGTACACAATCTCTCTCTCTCTCTCTCTCATGTACAATATGAGCCATTTTCAAAAAAATGTCACATTTTAAACATTTTTGATTGATAAAATATTGCTTAGAATTGCCATTGAATATGTTCATGAACAAAGTAAAACGTTCCTTGACCTAAAAATCAGATTTTCAAAACTGCCCAAGTCATAGAAATTTTACAGCTCTTTTGTAAATCTTGCTCAGTAGGTAAAAATGGCAAGTTCCACAACACATATTTGTTTTTTATAACTTGCTTAGGGATAAAAATCATGGCTCCAGGGATTCAATAATTGGCAGTTATACAGAGTATTGGACAGCATTGCCAAAGCAAAGAAATTCTTGGTGCCCGTCCTTGTCTTTTATTTGTTAATTAACTCTTTATCTCCATATTTTGCTTTACCCATTTCACACTTCTCTCCTGTTACCCAGCATTTCACACAGATGAATGGTCCCAAGATATAGATTTATTTTCTTTGAGATTTTGCGGTGAAGACTCCCCTCCTGTTCCTTTATATGACATGAGACAACGGAGCTTATGCAATGCAAAACTGAAAGATACAGAGCCAAGTTCAACCCAACATGGTCAATATTTGAGCATACATGTCCCTCCTGTTACCAGGGTCTAAAACAACTTATTAGACAGAAATCCGATACACTCTCCTTTGGTTAGGAAGTCTGCCAAGGTTACATTTCAAAGGTAAGAGAATCCATAACATGAGCTCTATCCAGTTAGTGGTCGTCAGGGCAATGATGTACAGAATTCCCTCCTGTTACTTTCCCTGCTGTTACCCAGGGTTTTGGTAACAGTAGAGAATAAAAAAGTAACAGGAGAGAAAGGAATGTACTCAATATCTTAACTGACCACAGCTTGGGTTAGAATGCAAGGTAGTCCGCACTTAAAAGAGCAAATGAAAAAGGTTACAACTAAAGGAATATTTGTGTTTTTTCAACAGAACACCTGAATTGTAATTCTTATCTTTGAGTAACGGGACAGAATTGAGAGTAACAGGAGAGAATACAAGATATCAGGAAGGAGGGGTACGTGTCAAATAGCTAAACTGATCAAAGTTCGGGTTGAAAATGGGTCATTTATGGACAAACAACACAAAATAGTTATTATAAGAAAGACGTGTCTGTACTTTTTCAATAAATTCCTGTATTGTGATTGTTGTTTGTTTTAGTAGAGGTTTTACGGCACTCGCAACTGCATAAGTTCATATGAGCACCAAGGGGTGGATGTTAATAGAAAAGTCCTTAGAGGGAATCAGACTTACTCTGTTCACCTCTCTAGCCTCGACAGCACAAAGTCTGTTCCGACTTTCAGGGCACCTCAGAAATAGCGGGTCACAAGAGAGTGACAAACATACAAAAGAGGCAGAGGAAAAATGACAATAGTGAGGATTAGGAAAGAAAAAGCAGCAGTTCCCCGTTGTAGATCAGGCACAGTTATGAGCGTGACATTGATGAATCAGCCCATTTACAATTCTACTGTGCATTAGAACGAGAAATGTCCCCCCCTTCGGGAATGTCCTAAAGACACTTCAGTCAGTGGCACCGCCCTGGGGGTACTGTGATTCTGTAATTTAGGTAACAGGACGGAACAGAGAGCAATAGCGCGGGAACAACAGAGTAAAACAAAAGGTAAAACCTTCCATTTTTCCTACCTCGATGATAATAATAATGCAACCTACTTTTGTTCCACCAAAGTCTAGAACCTTCTATATTGATAAATGGTATCGAAGAGTTCTAAGTAATCGTGATATTGCGGGTTTAAGGGTTCGAGCCTGAGCTCGGACCAACATTGTGTCCTTGAGAAAGACACTTAACACGAATTTCCTATTTGGCTCCGTCCTTTCGGAGAGGGTGTTAAACTGGGAGATTCCACCTCTTAAAACATCTTATACGGGCGTTAAACCTGAACCATTTTGCCATTTTCACCAAAGAATTCTTAAAATGTAGGTCTAGATCTAGATCTTTTATTTAGTGGCATATTTAGAAGTTTATTTCGTGTTGTTGCGGGGACGTAGATGTAATGCGTGTATTGAAGAGTATCAACATTGATAGAATGGACATACATTGCATATCCAATGAATGAAGAATTTTGTCTTTGCAATAAACAATATTTTTATTACTCTGGTTTCAAACAAAACAGAAAGCAGAGCAATCACAAATACCACGCAAAATTTGGACTTGACATTAAATATGCTCATTGTTATTTTGTTCAGGAGCCATTGGTTTTGTGTAGAGCACGAACCCTTTGGGCACCGACTTTATTTAAAGTTGGACATAATTATATGTCCTTTCACCCCAAATGTCACAGAGAGTTGCAAACAAACAGTCTGAATCTGGAGCAACGTCGCTTTTCTTCAGTTGTTTCATGGGACTTTACATATCTGTAGTGTAGGATTTATGTCGGTGTCATTTACTGGTGACCACTCTAACCTTGATATGATTTGGTTTTTCAAGACTTGTCAAGTGGCATTGGCCCTGTGAGAAAGTGCTTTGCTAGGCATGGAGATATCTACTCGAATGACACCTTGACGAAAATAAGGGTAAGATAAGCTGATGTTCCAACACTTGTGCGATGTAGTGCACTCGGCCAAGCCATCTGTTGATTCTGACAAGGGCATTAAAATTTAACCAAAAAATTCCAGCCCAGATAACCCAAAACCATGGCAGTTTCGTGGTGTCTGTTTTTCACCGACAGTTGATTATGTCCAAAATCTAACTAACACAGTCCAGGAGAAAAAAAAAGTCTACATGAAACCAATGGCTCCTAAACAAAAATAACAAAATCATAGTAATGAGCACATGATGTGATGTTAAGCCCAGGTTTTGTGTGGTATTTGTGACTGCTGTGTTCCAATCTGTTTGAAAATATCATCAAAAGACGCTGTTCATTGCAGAGACAATAATATTCTCTTTTCGTCTGATATTTGATACATGTCCATTCAACCAAACATGTTGTTGTTGTTTTCAAATCCCTTTAGCTGCGAGCGTTTTGCTCTTGGCAGCGCAATCCCTCCCTCAAGTAACCACATGTCCTTGTCATCTGGTCAACGCCAGAGTAGAGCAGGCTTCAACCAAGCATATATACATGTATTTACATATATACGTAAACGTATATTGAGTCGAACCAGGGTATATTCAGGGCAAACTTTGCTCAAGTTTTTTTTAACCAATTGATGACAATCATCACTTTACAAAAACAATCAGGACACAGAAAAACACAATGTGTGTCTTCTCAGATCTAAAATGAAATAAATTATGTTTCTTTCCTTTCCATAGGAAACTGGAAACATGAAATCAGGCAAAAATACTGAGATCATTCATCATAACATTAATTGGCCTTGCAAAGACTGTTCTTTAAGGGACAGTTTGTTTGATTAAAGATAAGCATAATGAACATAATCACAGTCACCCATTACATGGAAACAACAGAGGGGAAAGAAAAAAGGTAGGAGGGCAGTACCAATGGGACCCTCCAACCATCCACATAAGGGACAGAGAAAGGGTTGAAAAAAAAAATATAGAAAAGCAAAAGAAACAATGGACAAACAACATTACAAAGTGGAACGGGAACCTTTGTGAAAAGATCCAGGCCATCGCTTTGACACTAGAAAAAGTGGTAAAAAATCTAGAACACAAGACAATCAAGTTGGCATCCCAAAGACTCTACCATTGGAGAGAACAAAAAACAACAACTATAACATCTGAAATTTAGAACCTGTGGATTTGGGTTCAGAAAGAACACAGCAACTCAGCCTCAAAATAATTGCCATTGCCAATTTTTTTGCAACCCATCAACACAACTGGATCGTTTAAGAGGAAAACTGCTCCAACCCTGCCTGTCAGGGCTAATCCGTTCTGGGTTTGATCCAATCTGCTGCAGACAGATGGAGATACTCAACCACATCGGAATCAAACTCCCTCACATCTTCTGCCTACCACATTGAAGAGCCTATCCACTACACCGCAGACACCCTGTTTGGCTTCTGTGAATTGACAAAAAGTGAATGGATTTGCAAAGAGCATAAATAGATCCGTGGCATTGAGCCCTGCACTACTTACCGTGCACACAACTGAAGTGTATGAGGACGTGTTCTTGTGATCCTGACACCAGTGCAAGGCAATTTTCTCCACAGACTTTCCTTGCACGCTCGCAAACACTGCAGCTCTTCGACTTTCCATGGAGAATTCCACTTGAACTTCTACACTCTCGTCTACGAAAAATGAAAAAACGTAAAAAAGGATTGGTAATCATGACATTGAGAGAGGGGGGGGGGGGGGGGGAGCTTGTAGCTGTTGCTGCTTTTGTTGTTGTAGCTGTTGCTGCTTTTGTTGTTGTAGCTGTTGCTCATATTGTTGTTGTTTTTGTTGTGGTTGCCTATCCAAAGCTATCACCTTTCTTCAAAATACTATGAAGTGCAAAGCGCACATGCAATGATTTACTTTCTAATTTCCATTCGTGCTTCATCTTTCTTTTAACGTAAAAAAAAGTTAAATTCGCCAATAATTATGCAATTAATAATTACATATTTAAAAATTAAAATTAAAATTTTAAAAGTTCCCTGATTAACAAACAAGCAAACAGATATAAATCAAACAGTGTCCGTCCCATCCCAATCTGACAGAAAGGTTGAATATCTTCATTTCATAAACCCTATCCCCTTATATCGTAATTGTTTGTTTTTAAAGAAGTAATAACCCGTCATTTTGTAACAGGAAAGAAAGTAACACACACAAACGAAAAAAAAAAAAACGGTCGGAAAGAAAAGAAGAAGTAAGATTTAACAGTAGCGCCCTGAGAAAAATCTCAAATCTTACCACTATCAAGGGGGAGGACCAGCGCAGTAAAGTTTGGACACAGCCCCACAATGTTTGTCGACCAGATTCTTGCATACAAGCGGACTCTTGGAACACCGGGCAGGACCAGGTAGGTTTTGTCAGTGCTCTCATTCACTAACAAATGGTCCGACTCGTTAAAGACATGGACGATGTACCTCAAGCTATCTCCACCGACAGCTTCGTGAGGCAATGGCTATGGAAAAGAAAAGTGAATGAGAATAAATGGAGAGAGAGAGAGAAAGAGAGAGAGAGAGAGAGAGAGAGAGAGAGAGAGAGAGAGAGAGAGAGAGAGGGAGGGAGAGAGAGAAAGAGAGAGATTGAGAGAGAAAGAGAGAGAGAGAGAGTGAGAGAGAAAAAGAGAGAGAGAGAGAGAGACAGAGAGAGAGAGAGAAAAAGAGAGAGAGTGAGAGAGCAAAAAAGAGAGAGGTTGAGAGAGAGAGAGAGAAAAAAAAAGAGAGAGATTGAGAGAGAAAAAAAGAGAGAGAGATTGAGAGAGAGAGAGAGAGAGTGAGAGAGAAAAAGAGAGAGAGATTGAGAGAGAGAAAAAGAGACAGAGAAAGAGACAGAGAGTGAGAGAGAAAAAAAGAGAGAGAAATCGAGATTGAGAGAGAGAGAAAGAAAGAGAGAGTGAGAGAGAGAGAGACAGAGAGAGAGAGAGAGACAGAGAGAGAGAGACAGAGAGAGAGAGAGAGAGAGAGAGAGAGAGAGAGACAAGGTCCACTTTAATGTATGTTGCTACTGGTCAATAAGACTACCCGTACACGCAGTCACTCAGTACAGAGAATTGAGAATTCAAAGAGGGGAAGTTGGTTACTTAAATTTACCTTTTTCTATTATCACGACAAACATAACGATGAACACAGTAAACAGAGTTTCCTCCCTAAAAAGATGATAATACAGGTAGAAAACATACATACTACAGCATATTTCCATTTGAAAATAAACTTTCTTTTTTCAAAGATCATTTTTAACACGAAATGTGTAAAATACCGGCTTAAAAAAAGGTACCAATAGAAAGAACAGTTCTTTTTCTATTAGAATAAAGTCATCGGCTTGGAATTATTTTGCATGAATCGTTCTGCGAAACTACCGGAAGCACTCAGAATATCACAGTATTGAGCCAGCTCGCTCGCCGTGAAGGCTGGTGCGACGCCGGCCGAGACAACACTCGGTGTTTTTATTGAAACAACGACAGATCATCGTGTTTGAGGCAATAATAATATTAGACTTCATTTCTATGTTCTAGTGATTGTACTCTATTAATGTAGAGATGTTTGGTGCACTTGGTACTCTTTTACTATCTGTCAAACATGGGGTTGCCACCAGTTAACGACTTAAGCAATATTTTATTAATATGTTCAATTGAAACAGCTGCCATTCTCTTAAACATTGACTGAGAGGTAAAGTATGGTACCAAAATTCTCAGGAGACATAGGCCTTTCATATGAAACATATGAATTTAACATACAGCTACTTTGAAAATTTAGTGTCTGGTACCTAGTATAATGCTAATATTTAGTTGCATTTGACGTGAAGTCAATTCTCGTTAAAATTTTGTTTGGTCCATAAGTTTTTTTCTCTGTGAGTGAATTGTTCTTTTACTTTTGTAAGTTACCTTGTAGTGGCATAGCCGAGATAACTGCTATATTTCAAGTTTCTATCTCTATTCTAAGACCCCCATTGCTAGGGAAACATGTTGCCCAACTTCAGAGGCCATCTTCTCCTTTTCGTGTTTCCTCACCTCGCACAATTAAAAGTTCTGTATTTTCATCAAATACGATCATATTTACTTCATTTTTGTTTTAAATTACTAAATCAGGGGAGCCAATTGGCTATGCAAAAAAAAAAAAAAAAATTTTTTTAAAGCGTGAACTGTTTCCACCTTTTGCACACGGGGACACAACACTTACTGATCATATGTGAGGCAGCGTGGTCAAATCAGGCGCACGTCAAAATAATGGAAAGTGAAGAAACTGACATTTTTTCGCAGGATTGTGAATTTTTATCGAATTTTCGTTTTTTGGCTCAGTATCTTTAATGTCCATTAAAGAACACATTTCTAGGTGGGTTTTACTGACAAACATTGATTAAAGGCACAAAAAAATGCAAAAAATTTTCAGTTCCACAGACTCTCAAGCTATGGAAATAACTAAATTTTGGCAGCCATTTTTCTTTAATTTTACCTTTGAAACCAGGTGACCCCCACCTCCTTCATTCGCCAATATCTGGACTTGTACTCTAGACAAATGGACATCTTTTCATCAAAAGCAAGACAAATGAACAAGCTTTTAGAAGATACCAGTAACTCCACATGCCCAAAAACTGATGAGCGCCTGACTCCACCACGCCTTGACACATATTGTTGAATATATGTGAGGCAGCGAGGAGGAATCAGGCTCTCATCAATTTTTGTGCATGTAGAGTTATTGGTGTAATCGTAAAGCTTGTTCACTTGTATTTATTTGAATGGAAAAAATATCCATTTATCTTGAACACGAGTCATGATATTTGAGAATGAAGGAGGTGGGGGTCACCTGTTTTCAGAGGTAAAATTAGTGAGAAAATGGCGGCCAAAGATTAGTTATTCCCTTATTTGAAGAGTCCATGGTAACTGAAAATTTACATTTTTTGTACCTTTAATCAATGTTTTTCAGAAAAATCCACACAGAAATGAGCTCTTTATTGGGCATGAAAGGTGTTGAGACAAAAAAAAAAAATTTGATAAAAATTCACAAACCTGTGGAAAAATGCGAATTTCTTCACTTTGATTATTTTGACGAGAGCCTGATTCCACCACGCTGCCTCACAAATATACATTTTGTATCAAGAAGTCAGGCAAAATTCAGACACTTGTAGAAACCCAGATTTATCCAGAAAACTGGCACCTCTGCTAGATGAAGTGTGCAAAGAAATGAATATTGAAAAGGCAAAAACAAAAAAAAACAAAATGACTATACCCCAAAAAAAAAAATACACCCACCTGCCAAATCAACGTCACTTCCAAACTGTCAGCACTGAAGTAGAAATGATCTGGGGGCCTTGTTGGAGCTGATCAAACAGAAGAGACAAAACACAGAATCAATCCAGTTAAAATTTTCCAATAAAGAGAAGCACATTGATGTAACAAAAGGTGACTTAGTTCAGCCAAAAAGACACACGGACAGAAACAATGAAGGGTCGAAAAAAAGGAAGGAAGAATGTGCCTGTCAGCCGTTCAGTCCAGTTTCTGTATATTGAAAAACACCACATTTATTGTCCGTGGGGGAAATTTTCTGTAGCTGTACAGGAATTTAAAAAACATGATATTCATAGAATTTAAAGTGCATATTACTATTATTATTTTTTGTAAGTGTTTTACGGAGCTCCCAACCGCATAAGGTCATATGAGCATGCGGGACACACCAAATATTTTCAGGTTGTCGGAAATTTTGAATATTGCCAAGGTGGTGGCTGAAGCCTACTCTTATAGATTTTGGACCCCAAGGGATCTTTAACGAGCGCAACTTGCACACGGGACCTCGGAGATTTTTTTCCCTTGTCAAAGAAGATTAAGTGTACATCTTACCTACCATAAAATCAGGGGTGTGATTGAAAGACAGCAGAAAGAAAGATCCAAAGAGAAGCAGTAGAAAAGCTGCAGAAAGAGTCAAGAGCCCAGAGGAGCGGCAAAGGAGGTGAAGGGATGGGGGCAGAAGGTGGAGACGAAAGCAGACAACAAAACATTTCAAAAGAGCAGGAAAGGAGAAAATTTTAGAGAACTATCCGGATTCGAACTTGGGAACTATTGAAAGAGCGGGGAACACCTTAACCTCTAGGCTACGAGAACCCCCATATTACTTTCAAAAAAGAAATGCTATATAAAGAGAAAAATAAAGCTGACAAAAATACAAAATGAATGAATTTACCATCAATTTTGAATGTTACAAGATACATTTCTATTGAATAAAAATAATAATAATAACAATAATAATAATAAACAACAATAATAATAACAATAATAAACAATAATAATAACAATAATAATAATAATAATAATAATAATAATAATAATAATAATATTAATAATAAAAATAAAAATAACCTATTATGTACATAGATTTTTCAAAAATCAACAGTGGTACACATTAATGTTCACTCCGACAGCAGCCGTACTGCAGTTGGTAGCAAACTTTTTTTGTGCAATACAAAAAAACCCATCCAAAAACATTCCATGTCTTCTTGACAAGCAGGGCTATATTTTTCCTTTTCAGCCCACAGTCTTGACAGAGATAGGAAAATGATCCGTTTTCCAAAAGACCTAGATTTCTACGAGCCCAGAACTGGACGCAAACTAATCTTGCTTCTTAAAGTGCTGGCTCTGAAACAGATATTGGCAGTCTTAGTTTCTAACAACTTGAGATATTGGCAATCTTAGTTTCTAACAACTTGAGATATTGGCAATCTTAGTTTCTAACAACCTGAGATATTGGCAATCTTAGTTTCTAACAACCTGAACAAAAAAAACCACAACAAAAATAATTTAAAAACCCCCAAAAAACCCAACAAAAAACAAGCGACAACATAAAAGTTACCTGTTTGTGAGGACCGGAATATGGTGCGTCTTGATTCCCCTCTGCCCCCTCCCCCGTAGCTGATCACCGAGAGATTATAGTCAGTGAACGCTTTGAGGTGATCTAGCCTCACCTCTAAACGGTACAGGTCATAGTCAAATGGATTGTCACCTATATACTCTGCTATCACATTCACCTGTGGAAACAAAATCTCAGCTGTAGTAAAAGTTTTACAGCACTTGTAACACAATAAGGCCATTTAAGTTCCAAAAGATTAGAGGTGCTACAAGAGAGCAACAAACGCAAAAAAGAGGGAGCAGAGATAGGGATGATAGCTGCTTGAGAGGAAAGAAGGAGCAAACCACATTATAGCACCCGCCAACCACCCACAGGAAACAATAAAAATAGACATCTGAGTACATGGGAAAAGAAAATCCAGTTTGTTTGGAATGGACAAAGGAGAGGCAGACCAACTGACAGTTATAAGAGAACAGTCAAGGATGAGGCAATCACCCAGGGCCTGGATGTGTCAAAGCTAGACAGTGTGATGTCAAGGGACATGACTCTTATCTTTACTGTGGGAACTAAATAATTAGGGGAGTGGCACGCCCTTGGATGACGTCAAGAGCCCGGCGCGAAAAATAGAGACATCGTCTGAGAGACTCACTGAGGTATTCAGCCGAACTCAGGACCACGACGAGGCAACACTTATCTTGGACGGGGGCCCCCTGACAGACCCGACTCATCGGACCGCCAGGTAACTTTACAAGACAGAATAATAATAATAATAATAATAATAATAATAATAATAATAATAATAATAATAATAATAATAATAATAGATAGCATTTGTATAGCGCATATCCCCGCTCAGCAGCAGGCTCTATGCGCTTTACACTATATTATTACCCCAGCAGACCATAGAACACTCCGAAACATTCTCAGCTTCCCGGGAAGCATACAGTGCAAGCAGCCGATTAAGCGCTCAAACACTAACAAACTGACAAGAATGGCCATGGACAGGGAGAGAATAAGTAAGTTGTCTGTTTTAGTTGTTTTTTTTAATAGTAGAGGGTTTTGGGTAAATAAAGGTATATCTACAAAATAATAATAAAATTCATTTAGAGAAAGGAAAAAGACAGACAGACAGACAGACAGACAGACAGACAGACAGACAGACAGACAGACAGACAGACAGAAAAAAGGGGCAAAGGACAGAAAAAAGGGGCAAAGGAAAGAAAAGAAGAACGGCTTCCAGTGTCATCCTCCAACAATCCACAAGAAAATCTGATTTCGATAATGAGAAATAGCATTCACACGAGAAGAGAGAGAGAGAGAGAGAGAGAGAGAGAGAGAGAGAGAGAGAGAGAGAGAGAGAGAGAGAGAGAGGGAGGGAGGGAGGGAGGGAGGGAGGGAGGGAGGGAGGGAGGGAGGGAGGGAGGGAGAGAGAGAGAGAGAGAGAGAGAGAGAGAGAGAGAGAGAGAGAGGGGGGGGGTAATATGTGAGGCATTGCGGTGAAAAGAAGAGAAATGTTTCAGTCTTTAATACATTCCGGATACCATCGTGGATGGAATTATCGTCCTACTGTTCCGACTGAATTTCTGCAAGACAAAGCTGGATCTGTCCTTTCCAAATGAAGACTGTGCTAATTAGTCGAGACTGTAAATTCCACTTTGTTTCAGACTGTCATGGAATATTTCGGTGACAAACGCGTCTGAGAACGCCGATTCATTTTGTAGAGTGGGCAAAAAATGTCGAAGAGCCTGCATAGAGCTAGCGAAAAATACCTCTGTTCCCCGACAAGTCACCCTTTTCATGACCGCGAAGGGCGAGTTCGTGAGTTTCACAGGAGAAAATACACTCGATAACCTTACACAATACGTGCCTGTTCTTTCTCACTAGTTCGTTATTGTGAGACGTTGCAATGTGATGACCAACGACTAGCTGCGCTGCTATGTCTACTTGTCCGAAAGTATGATACTTAACGGCATTGTTTACGTGCGCTCTTGATGACTCGTGCTTTAATGTGTTGTTTCACATGGACAAGTACAAGATAGGTAAAACCTGTCTGAGACTATTTCTTGGGGGTCCTCAGTTCCAAAAAAGTAGACAGGAGAAACAGCAGGCCTACAATGAGTATTTGCTAACGCTGACTGTAAGCCACTCCATTTTTTTGTTAGTTGTATTATTTTGATATCTTTGGGTTGGTGAGGACCTAATTCTTTCACTCTCTTCTTGTTACTTTGTTTGGTGAACTGATTTTATTTGCAATCAACTTCATTCATCCTGCATTGGAATACACCCTGAGCAATAAAACTTTCACCACTACATCATTCCAACTTCTAACACAGTGACCTAATTATGTCATGTTGACCTCGCTCAAGTTCAGTGTTACAGAGGTGGGGCTAGAGATATAAGTGGCAAGACAAAGGACCAATCGCAAATCATTGTGAGCACTGCGGTGCATTGCTCCAAAGCTATCATAATACGGGCATTGAACTGTGTAGGCTATCGTGAACTGGTCTGAGATCGCCTTATTTTTAGACTGCCTCTATGGGCTTTGTTCGGCTGGTGCACATTGAGATTGTGCCGCCTTATCAATATTTATGAACTAAGAAACTCGGTCAAAACATCATCATTGTTTGGGCCGGCCCATAGAGCATTTTCCGAGATATATTACACCACTGAACATGCTATTTTTTACTTGGGTGAAGCACAAGAACTTGATATGGTATAGTAGATGTTGTAGAGTTGTGGATGTTGTAATGAACGAATAGGCTCTGGCGAGGAACTAGTACAGAAAACTGGTTGGACGGTGGAAGGTAAAGGTTCTTTTATTATCTCTTTGTGGGTGTTGGGCACATTAAAATTTTTGGGTGGCAGTGCACGACCGTGCTCTATGGAAGAGCCGCTCCTGCTGGGCAGGTACCGGTACCCAGTACCAAAACTCCCGGTACTACTGTAGGCGATGTAAGTACAGGCAGCAGGCCTCCAGAATCGGCTCTGGGAAGGTGCCAACACCAAGTGTTTAACATAGCGAGTGATGTGCCCTTGGAACTAAAGCCTCAGTCACTGTGCAGTGTGTAGAAATGGTGACGTCAGCTGCACAGCACAACGCACAAGCTGACCTTGATGCATGCCTTTGCGTTCAAAATTGACAAACCAATGGAAAATAAGATTTTGTTTGCTAAAGTTTAGCTATCACATCAAATGAGGCTCATCATGAACAATTTTGCTCATTTTGATATGCTGATTCCGAAAAATTCAGCAATAGAAACACTAGACGTGCAGAGCTTCTGATGTCATCTATTCGCAGCCCCCGTACCCTTACCAGTATCGGTACTGGCGGTATTCGACAATGTCATCTATTCGCAGTCCCCGTACCCTTACCAGTATCGGTACTGGCGGTATTCGACACTCAGTACTGGTAAAGTACTGGGACTCTATTTCTCCGGTACCGCCCAGCACTAATAATAATAATAATAATAATAATAATAATAATAATAATAATAGATAGCATTTGTATAGCGCATATCCCCGCTAGCAGCAGGCTCTATGCGCTTTACACTATATTATTACCCCAGCAGACCATAGAACACTCTGAAACATTCTCAGCTTCCCGGGAAGCATACAGTGCGAGCAGCCGATTAAGCGCTCAAACACTAACAAACTGACAAGATCTTTAGCTGTCTATAGCCGGGTACCCATTCCCACCTGGGTGAAGTGAGGAAAATTTGTGTAAAGTGCCTTTCCCAAGGACACAACGTCGGGCCGCCCTTGACCGGATTCGAACCCACGACCTTACGGTTGCGAGTCCGAGAGCCCAACCACTAGGCCACTGACGCCACAATCCATGCACACTGAAGAGTGACCAAAACCTGGTTCTAATGAAATGCAACCTTGTTACAAATCCCCCTGGCGCATATTACTGTATCAGACTTGATAAATACAACAGGAGAAAGTTGCAGGGAGCAGCAAAGATTGGACAGTGAATAAACTGAATAATATGTGTACACAGACACACGGCTTTGCTCATTTACTCACACTAACCCAAAAGTATATAAAACACACTTACAGATAGACACGCAAACATACACATGCACACATACAAACTCATACACAAATACACACACAAACTCAAACACAAACACACACACACACAATACACAAATACACACACACAAACAACAAACTCATACATGAACACACACACACAAAGCACAAACACGTACACACACACACACACACACAAAGAACAAACACACACACACACACACACACAAACACACGTGTAAAAACACCACAACAAAGTATGTCACTCACAGCAAATTCCTCCGAATTCCCACTCAATGAAGTCAAGACAAGCTCAAACACAAGTGGAAATCCCTCTTCATACATGAGCTGGTACAGTCGAGTTAGGTTGTTGGTGAGATACAGATGGGCGACAGCTCCACTGCTGCTCACATTTGAGACAATCACCTCCCCCACAGCTTCTGGTAGTACTGAAATTGACATGGTAAGCGTTTTATGCCATTGTCAACACAATTTGTGAGGCAGCGTGGTGGAATCAGGCTCTCGTAAATTTTTGGGCATGTAGAGTTATTGGTATCATCTTAAAGCTTGTTCCCTTGTCTTTATTTGAATGAAAAAATATCCATTTATCTTGAATACAAGTCGAGATATTTGCGAAAGAAGGAGGTCGGGGTCACCTGTTTTCAGAGGTAAAATTAGGGAGAAAATGGCCGCCAAAGATTAGTTATTTCCTTAGCTTAGGAGTCCGTGGTAACTGAAAATTAAAATTTGTGTGCCTTTAATCAACGCTTTTCAGAAAGATCCACTCAGAAATAAGTTCTTTAATGGGCATGAAAGGTGTTGAGCCAAAAATCAAACCTGCGGAAAAATGCAAGTTTCTTCACTTTGATTATTTTGACGAGAGCCTGATTCCACCAACGCGCTGCCTCACATTTAGATTTTTCCAAAGTAAGCGGGCTGCTTCAACCCTGCCCGTCAGGGCCGACCCAGGCTGAGAGGGGTAAGGCATCCCAGCATATAATCAGGATACCGATACACTTAATTAAAAAACTTCACTCACTCAAGACATAACTCCATTAACCCTATCCATACTATCGTATCCATACGACGTGGGGAACTCTGTGCCACCACTTTCCAAAGAGGAAATTTAGTTGTTAATCCGATCCATACGCTCTGCATAGCAGTGTGTCAAAATGATTTTTTGGGAAATACTGAAAGTTTCAAAGAGATCTTCGTACCAGAAGTATTCTAAAATGAGAAGAATATAACCCTGGGAGTACAAAATGACCCCAGGGCATATGGATAGGGTTACGGCATTTACCAACTACAGGTGTTTGAGCAATCATTGCCCTCCATCTAACTGTCCGGCCCCTATTGAAAATAAAGGATAAACACAAGGTCTCGCATGTCACATATCTGTACTGTCATGTCAAAGTGAGACTTGAATCCTGCCCATGCAATCCTTATGCTTTAAGTAGATAGAGCCAAAATGATCAAATACAGCAAACCAATGTTGACTAGAAAATTGGTATTCTTAGACAGGTGGACTTCTTGGAAAGTGTCATTATATCATTTTTAAATGTCAGGCAAAAGGGGTGGGTGGGAGGCGGTCATTTGTACAGGTGGCTGTTTCGAACAGGTGACCACTAGAGCAGGCTCGACTGTACTTTAAAAAAATGCAGAACTTGGTCCCGAGCGAAGAGAGAGGACTGCACAAGAATGAGAAAAATGGAGGCCTCTTTCAGAGGTGAACCGTGAACCTATAAGTGTCAATCAACCAACTTCGCAAAATACTGCGTCTCACGGGCAATTTTTCACACCAGTGCAGCAGTTTCAAAACAGAAGGACTTCCGTCTCTGTTGCTAACTTATTCTCTCCCTGTCCGTGACCCCTCTCTCCTGCTCTGACACATCCAGACCTCGTCCCTGACCGTACTCCTATACCGGTACTGCCGGTTGGTCTGCCTCTGTCCAAACAAAAGGACGGGGGCTCTCGTGGCCTAGAAGTTAAGGTGTTGGCCTCTCATTCAAAGGTCCTGGGTTCGAATCCGGGTAGCGACCGAAAATTTTTTTTTCTCTAAAATTGTCTCCTTTCACCTCCTTTCCTGCTCTCTAGCAATGTTCTGTTGTCTGCTTTCATTTCCACTTTCTGCCCCCACCCCCTCAC